CTGTATCAGCCCAGCGCTCCGCTCAGCAGCATGTCGCCAATCCTTGCATACCGCAAATGAGGAGGAGCTACTTGCTCCTCCGGAAGATATAGCGGGCTCCTGGCCTCTTGGGCGGTGACTTCCTAGGCCGAGCGGCCTCCCAGCAACCGGTAACTCCTCCCTTTCGGAGGGAAACATCATTGCAGGCTCTGCTATCCTCCGGACAGGCCCTAGACCCGGGCTACTTGGACTGGTAGTGGCCTACCTCTAGCCTACCGCTATTGGGCCTCTAAAAATGCCAACTTTTTTGTCTTCTTCTGCTCGGCCTCCAGTACCCGACGCTACTACCACTACTTCAGTGGTACCGGCCTAGCTGCTACTCGAGTGTTTTTCCCCTCTGCTCTAAGTGTCGCGGGCCTACCCCCGCTACTCGAGTGTTTTCCCCCCTGCAACCCTCAATGTCACGGCCACAGGTAAGTACCGGCCCTGCGGGGCCTTTCAACCAAGAAGTACTCTTGCGGGTCACACACACACTCAGCCAACAAGCACTCAGACGGGCATGCAAACCAGCAGGCACGCACACACACACACAGACATGGAAATCACAGCAGAATGCGGGAATTTCAGCAAGGCATTCATTCCAGCGTTAAATCCCAGAAATCGGCCGTGTTCTCAGTCTGTGTTTTTGGCGGGTCATTACAAAAGAAAAAATTGAAAAAACGAAAAGTAAAACAGAAAAAAGCTAGGCTGAATTCCGGGCCGCCCGGCGGCCGGCTCGTTGCCCGGGGGGGGGGCCGGGCCGCCTGGCCGGTCGTTCCGCCCGGTTGGCCACCGGGCGACCCCAGCGCATCGTCGAGGTTTTTTTTTTTTTTTTTTCCGTAGCGGGGGGCCTTCTCCCCCCGAAAGGAGGCCGTGGATGGGGAAAAAAAAAAAAAAGAAGGGCCGGATCGGGGCCCATCTGCGCCGTCRATCTCCAGGATCGACGGCCCAGATGGGCCGCGATTGAAATAGTTCAAATCGGGCCTTCCGGCCCGTTTTTTGTTGCTTCGAGTTTCCCGCCCGATTGTTCACTATGCCCGAGCCGACGCCTCACTTCGGCCCACGGGTGCATTCGTCGTCGCCTTCGAAGCCCGCACCCGCCAACGCAGTCGACGCCCCCCCGATGCCGGCGAAGAACACCATCGCACTGCCCGTCGACGCCCCCCAACGCCCCCCGACGCGCGCCATGGTGAGTGTGTTAGTACGAGAGAGAGAGAGAGAGAGAGAGAGAGAGAGAGAGAGAGAGAGAGAGAGAGAGAGAGAGATCTTCTTCTTCTTCCTCCTCTTATCCTCCTCTTCTTCT